ATTTCACTGAATATCAATGAAATTCTATAAAAATCCTAAATTTTCAATGGTTATAAAAAAAAATCTCTAAGAACTCTAGGTTTAAAATTTTTAATATACCTCAATGTAATAGCTTCAGTTTCACTTGCAAAATTAAATGCAGCCATACAATCCTCTGCCTCAAATGTATGAAAATATGACATTGGCGCTTTGTAATCCATTGAATTATAGATTTCATGTTCCCATAACATTATCTTCCTTTGTAAACAATATAATCGCAAAAAGAAACTGCGTCTTGGATTATCTCTTATTAGGGTAATAATACCCGTATTCTTTTTAACCCAATCCTTGTGTAATGGAGCTTCAGTCAAATATAATTGTATAACACCAGCTGCTAAACACTAAAACAGCAATACAAATAAGCAATATAAAAAATAAATGTATAGAAAAAATATTTTATTTTAATTGTAAAAAAATATAAAAATTTCTAATCAATTAAAATTATTTCATAATTATGTGATACTTAAGATAATAATACAGTCCTGATAAAAAATATTAATTAATTCTATAATATACTTGCATAAATAAAATAATTTATAATTAGATTTCGCTTGTTTTCTGCAATGCAAAGTATAAAGAAATTGGGTCTAAATTGAGCAGTAATAAGATATTTTTATAAAATAAATTTTAAGTTTACAATGTTAGTACAGCATAAAAAATAATATAATGATATCGAACGTTTTGGAACTCACTGATCCCTCCTCAGCGATTCTTGAAGATATTACAAAGTCATAGAGATGATAATCTTATGGTCTAAGCGATATGGTGTGGTACAATTACTGTTTATCACTGAAGAGGGACCCGTGAGTTCCAAAATGTTCGATATCATTATATTATTTTTTATGCTGTACTAACATTGTAAACTTGAAATTTATTTTATAAAAATATCTTATTACTGCTCGATTTAGACCGAATTTCTTCATACTTTGTAAAATAATTTATACATATATAAGTTATAATTATTACCTTTGTTATATTATTTTATTTTAACATTTTAACATATTTTGTAATTATATATCAACATATTTAACATATTTTGTAATTATATATCATACATTAAACATAACGCACTCAACGAGATATTCGTATTAAAGATTGATAATTGTGTAAAAAAGTTATAACCTGGCATCGATTTCCTATTAATTGGAAGACATGTTCATTTTCCTCCGGTTTCAGGAGTATTGTACCTCTTTGCATATCCGTATTGTCCGACTTCATGTTAACGACGAACAAGGTTAGGATCGTTACGGAGCTAAATATTACTCAGTCTAAGATCGTCAACCTTCTCTTTTCACGCCTAAAATATTTCCTTTATTATCGTTATAGCATTGACCTATCGTCAATTCGTGTAGTCGTCACACACAGAGATGATACAGCCTCGGTGAGAAGAAATGACCAAAAATTCAAAAATATATATATCATTCCTAAGTTAAGAAAAATTTTGAATAAAAAAAACGCTCCTTAAAATCTTTAATATTCTGCGATGACAAATGATGACAAATACCCTCGAGCAAATATATAAATCTAACAAGAAAAACTCTTTAACTTAATGACTCAAGTTACTGATGACACTTTCCATCACTTCCCATCTATTCCAATTTGTTCCTATCGTTCCCAAGTCCCAACTATCCGGTCCGATCAGACGTTCCGTATTTCTACGTTTCTTTCTATCGCACATGAAATGCTGAGAAAGTTATGTTATGGCAGAGATAAATCTGGAGAGGACATGAAGGCCTTTTGCCTGTAACCGCAAAATGCCTTACGTACTACCGCCCTCTGAAGAAATGGATGTTAACTACGCAACAATATCCACCTTTTTACGGATTTTATTTCCAAAATCACTGAAATCATTAAAATCTTTATTAATTTGATAGATTTTAGTTATTTTAGAGATTTATTTCTATCAGGAGCGCCTAAAAGAGTGTATATTGTTTACATCCACTTCTTTAAGCAATGTTCAGATTCCCATCCGTACCACCCAGGTATCCTTCTATCCTTATTGTTTACTAAATATTAAACAAGGATGACATGACACCCGGGGATCACTCGAGTCTGAACACGTCCCAAGTTTCTCTCTGGTTATGGTTACAAGTCTAATTTTTTAGTTATCTTTAATTTCGGCGATACATTTAAACCAACGACATATATATTCACATTCAATGTAACAATCAAATTTAAATTTAATAATCACAATAGAAAAGACTTTAAGTGTATATATTATTTGTTATATAATCTGATTGTCTGATATAAAGACTGTGTAAATCTATTAAAAAAATCGATAATAACAGATAATTAAATCAAATTCTTTTTAGTACAATTGTTAGTACAAATTATATAAGTCATAAGCTAAAAATGGACCAATATCGTTAATCTTTAGTTTCCGACTTCTGAGATTTATGACTTATTGTAGAAGGCCTATAATATTGATGGAAATTAAGACACTTTTATACTTGTAAAGTTATATTTCTCTATATAAGTTTGAAAAGCTTAATTTTTAAATTAATTAAGTTATACATATCCTGTACAATACAATATGCTATAATATATGTATGTTAATTAATTTTTAAATTTTTAATTGAAGCATTAGTTTATTTTGATACAAAAATTTCTGAAGAACACTAATTTATTGACTAAAACTTAACACAATTTATTCTCAATTTTGGTTGTCATACACAAAGCTATAATTCTATATTTCATATTAGCAATAAAATTATATTTGTAAAAATGAGCTAACAACATTCTTTTGCCAAGATTATACATTTTATGAGCTCACACAATCAATTTTTGTGAAATAATGAAATAAAAGTATATTATGATGTCAAAATGTGCTTAAACATATCATTTTAAATACCAGTTAAATATTGTTTGTTTTCTTAGATGTATCTTACTTACAAAAAATCTAATACATTTAATAGGCATACAACCTATTGTGTTTTATTTATGATATAATTTTTAAAGATTTAATTAAAATATAATACAACATATGCACACGTGCATATACACACATGCAAGCATGAAGAAATATCCTATATTACGCGCGTGTGTGTGTGTTTACATATTTGTTTGTATTTATCATACATAAATCATGATATTAATAGCATTGTGTAATAATACATTCATATATATGTATATGCCTATATAATTCACTTATCTACTTATTCATTTATTATTAAAAGTATAATTTTATAATAATACAAAAAACAATTTTACATTTTGTATGTGTGTATGTAAGGAATTGTGAAAGAAAAAATAAAGAAATAATAGTAATATATTGAAAATAAATAATAATAATATCGGATAGTAATAGTAATTATTATGATATGTGTTATGTCATAATTAAAACATTGAAGTTAGGATTGGCATCCAGAAAATATTTATATAAAGAATATTTATAATACTTTACAGTAATTATATTAACAAGATCATATAGAAGAATTTGAATTTCATTTTAAACGGTCAGAAAAAAAAGAAAAAAAATGAAATTTTATTATTGTAAGAATTATAGAAATTAGGTGATTTTAGCTTAAATGGATGTATTTGACACCTATTTATCTTGTAATTAATTAGTTCTATTTTTACCACCAATATTGAGTATGAATCAATGTTGATCCTTGAAAATAAACAAAATACATATGCAAAGTCACAAAGTGCTCATAGTCATATCAGAATCAGATACATGTTCAATATTGTTTTTTGAAACTGATTTGTCAACACATAAGTTGTGTTTGTTTTAGGCGCTTATGTATTGTAGGCATATTCCATCTTTAGCGCTCACTATGTGGAAGAACTATAGAACAAAGCTTACAAAGCGTGCAGGCCCAAAAGTGCATCATCTATAGACAATGAAAGAATTTCAATGATCTTGTTTGTTTTATGTACAGTAATGCTGTGAAAACTGATGTATTAATTAATAAGTGTATATATTTTATTTATATAATGTATGCTCTTTCATATTCTTAGTTCTTCTGATAAAATGAACGCTGATGAATCAACTATTACAATTCATTTTGGAAGAACTATTAAAACTTATAATTATGGCACTATTTGTAATCCTTCGAGAGATTAGTAGTGTTACTAGGCGAAACTTATCGTATTTTCAATAAAAATATAATTTATTCAAGAAAAAGCACTGTTGATTCTAGGCAATACCAAGTTATAGAGAAGCTTAGATAATACAATAATTAAAGCGCAGACATAAAAAATATGATAGCAATTGATTACTTATATACACTTTCATAACCACAGGTAAAATTCATATACATACATACGTACATACATATATATATGTATAAATACTTCAAATTTTTTCTCTATTTAAAATATACACATTCATGCACACATAAGGAGATAATATATAGATTAAAAGATCTAATTACTGATAGTGTCTCAAATATTAGCAATTTGATTTTATGCTATTTTTTGAATATATAAATTATAATTATAATATAATTATATAAATATATATATTTTAAAATATATATTTAATACATATTTTAAAAAATATATATAGCATTTAAAATCAGATTACCAGTATTTGGCACACTGTCAATAATTAGGTCTTTTACAAGTTGACACGATAATATAAGAGTGTAGTGATAAAAATAAGATTAAATAGTTATAGAATAAAAAAGTATTAAAAAATTACATTCGTTTAAGCTAAAATCACCTGATATTATTTTTACAATAACAAAACGGTTTTGATAGTTTAATATAAAATTCAAACACTTGGCCCAAAACTAATTTTATGAAGACTCCTCTTTTTATCTATCTATTTTACTTTCTCGCAAATAAAATATATTTAATCGAAATTATTTATTTATAGAAAATAGTTTGAACATTACACAGATCTTAATCTCGAAGCATAACGCATATTTAAAAAAAATATAAAAGTATTAATTTTTAAAAAATATTAACAAAATATAAATATTTCTTAATTCCTAACTTGCTAGATATGACCTTGACTCATGTCTCATCAAATGACGAGACTACTTTAACATTGTTTTTTTGTGATTTGAAGGATTCAACACCTTCTCTTGTCACAGAAGTACCAGTAACATCCAAGTATTCTAATCTCGATGCATTTAAAGCCAAATGGACAAGACTCGAATTTGTTACACGTGGATAATTTCTGCAAAAAAAGAATAATACGTGTAAATGTTTTTTTTAAAAAGCTTTTAAACTTTTGTTCAATGGACTTACCTAACGACCAATGTTTTAAGATTTGGATTATTAGATATTCGTCTATCTTCTCGTAATATTATCATTCCTTGTGGAGCTAGAAAGCTATTTACTACTTCTTTATCGCAAGTATCACTTCCAAGTGCACAGATTGCTCTATCTGATATCAAACATCGTTGATATCCATAACTTTCAAGAGAGAATCCGTCCTCGACTAAAAACTGAATTAGAATTTATATTTATGATCAAAATTAAAGCATCATTTTTAAAGATCACGATGTGAACACAACAATTAAGAAATAAAGGTGTAAAGTTAGCTCATTATTATAAAAATTATAAAATTTTTTTTAGAGTTTTGTAAATATTTCGTATAGTTTCTAGATTTTTTGATGCATCCTAGAAATAGTTCCATATGAGAAAATAAAAAAAAAATAAAATACTCAAAATAGGTACCTAAAAAAATAATCATAATTTTCGAAATATTATTTTAACACAAATTTTTTTATTAAGATTTTTTTTATAAAACACTAAGGATTATAAATAACTCTCAACAGAATTCACAGAATCGTAAAAAAATTTTTTTTGTATTCTAAAATTACAAATCGGTATCTAATTTTCCATAACTTTTTCGATTTCAATTATATTTTTGTCATTAGAATTTTCGATAAAATTCCGCGGGGTTATCCAGAACTCTCAACAGAACTATCCAAACTCTCAAAAATTTTGTTTCATTAGTTTTTTGTAGACTGATATTCACAGTTCGTTCTGTTCGTTTTTATTTCAAGATTATCTTAAGTAATGTCTTAAGATGCTAATACGGTCCTCTAATTGGTTCGTGATATCTTCGTACTGTATTAAGACAGTCTTAAATGTAAGAATTGTTGTGTGTGTGTGTGTGTGTATGTGCGTGTGTGTGTGTGAGAAAGAGACTATGAATATCATTTTCAATAATGCTAACGTAACAAGTTACTTTTCAGAAAAATGAAGATAACGGTAACGAGTTACTTTTATAAAGAAACTTTGCCAACCTTCAATATTAATTAGCACCATATAATTTGTTTCAGAAACTATGAAGTAATGTCAATTTTACTTTTCGCAAGTACAGGTCTTTTTAAAGTCTTTCTTTACTCTTTTCATGTACCTGTGCTAGATTGCCATCTTCGAATATAGGTAATCGTAAAGCTTGTTGCTGCCGATGTTGCACAACTTCGGGCGGTTCTTCATTTATCCATGTCGAAGGACATTCCAAATAGAGATGCGTTAGAGTTTTAGTACTACTAAAACAACCGACTTCACTATCCCCAAGTGCTGTATCCCGTAAGTCTAAAATCTGAAACATAAAAACATTTTGTGTTCAATGTCTTTTCAGATTATAAGCATAAAAATAATTGATGTGATATAAATTGAATATATAAGAAAATATTATACCTCTAATGTTTTGAATCCAAATCTAGTTGCTAAACTAGCATATGCAACACACTCGCCCAGACGATGACATGAGTTTAGCCTGAGTTCTTTAAGTTTTGGTATCTTGCTAATAACTAATAAGGAGTGTGGCGTAAACCACTCGCAGTTACTTAAAATTAAACACTAAAAATAATATGAAACGTTTAATATATATAATAACAATAATTACCATTATATTAATCATAGAGAAAATCGATAAAATAATAAAATGTATTTATTGTTTTTGGATAATTTTTCATCAATATTACATAGATAAATTTTTATAAGTACTAAATAAAAATTATAAATAAGTTATTTATTGAAAATTAAAGTAATCAATACCAAATATACATTAAGTATACAATACAAGGTCGCTACTGACAAGTGCTCTAAAACATTTTAAAGGGTGATTCTTCGCATAAATTCAAGATAAAAACTTCTTATAATAATATACCCAAATCGACAGCTTTAAATCATGCTTCAAACATGTCAAAGTCGAAGGAAAACTTTCGTTTTTCTTTCCGAGATTTCGAAAATAATTCAAGTTATTTTGATAAAACTTTAAACACAAGTTTCAAAATAATCCGAATGGTTATTTTCGAAATTTTGGGAAAAAACAAAATTTTTCTTTCAATTCTAACATCCTGTAGAGATGCTTGTATGGCACTTTGTGATAGCTAAAAATTCGTAACTGATAGGTCGCGAGTTTAAATCCCGTATCCCATATATACGGAAAAATTTCGTATAATTTTACTACTACTACTTAACATCCTGGGATACATTCCAATGATTCTGCCAACTCCGACTATCTTTTATGCTTGTATAACATTCGGTAAACACCAAGGATAAAATGATACTGGAGTTGATTGAGTCAAATTTTAAAACGCAACCTTGTATGTTCGAAACTATGACATTTCAGATATATGGTCATATGCAGTTTTCATCTTAAATTTGAGTAAGGAATTAATCATTCAGGGATCTCGAAATACCTCGAAGAATATAAGTTTTATAGAAAACTATTTCAGATAAAAGTTGTAAAGCTTACAAAATTAATCTTACTAGACAAAAATTTCAAAAATATATGAAAAAAAAACAAAAAAAAGTTTTAGGCTAAGTAAAATGATTTCGAAGAGGTATTTGATCACATTATTTTTTTTAGATAAAGGTGCCAAAAAATAGGCAATTTGCCTACATATTTTTTTAAAGCAAATATGTATTTTCCTTACATCAATTGATTCCATTCATTGTTCTAATAAAAGTGTTAAGATATAATTATCAAAAAATCAATAGTTAATGAGATATTTTATACCTTATTCTTATCACATACTAATACAAAATGTTAAATATCTTGTAAATTATTAATTTTTTGATATCTCTATCTTAATACGTTTATATATAAAATTAAAGGATCGTATTTTTATATAAAAAAAAAAAACATTTAAATCCATTTTTAAAAAGTAGAGTGACCTTCATCTTTTTTGACACCAAGAAAAAAAACGTGACTAAAATACGTCTTTTTAAAAATCGTTTTACTTTTGTGTGAAACATTTTTTCGTATTTTTCACATTTTTCGAAATATTTGTGCATTAAGATTAAAATGAATTATCCTGCATATATATTCGCTCGCAAATAGGGGCATTGTAATATATTTTCTTATTTTTTTACAAATATAGTTTTATAATTTATATTATATACAGTAATTTACATAAAACAGCTAATTCGAAAATTTAATTATATAATTGCAAACATAAATATTTTAGAATGATAAGAAGTAGAATGCAAAAACAATCTATTATTTTAATATTCAAAACTTTATTTGATATTAATATATCAACTTACTGTCAAATTAGGCATGTGAAGATCCATTTTAAAAAAATAAGACTTATTGCTTTGTAAGTAATTCATTTTGCAACCTTCTAATGAAAGCTTTTCAATAGTGCATGGAAAATCTGTTATATGAATCTGTAAAAGTCGCAAATTGTAGTAAATTTTATATATACATATATATGTATATTTACATTATTTATACATAGATACATATATATACATATATATATGTGTATGTATCTTGTATTGGTGTTATATGTATCAAAATTTATTGGCATATATCTTTTAAACCATTAGTTACAATAATTTTGATTTGTTATCTTAAAAGCATGTAAAAAACACAATTACTGTACTCATTTTTTTATTTTGTATATATAATTTAATGGAGGAAGTGCTAACTTAATATTAAATCAGCACTCCCACTTAAACTGCAATTTTCTGCTAAACCGTTTAAGCACAAAAATTGACGTAGAACATAATTAGCACATAAACAGCACTTGATTCTCACATAGGTGTCGCTTTGATTTGTGTGTGTGTGTGTGTGTGTGTGTGTGTGTGTGTGTGTGTGTGTGTGCGCGCGCGCGCGTGTATGTGTGATGGAGGTGCTAGCTTAACAGACATTATAAAATATACCTTATCTCCATTGATGTAATATTCTTCAATGATCAATTCTTTGAGTTGATCACATAGTGTTTTCACATTATTAAAGAATCTTTGAGTAAGAGATGAACGTTCATGAGAAATAAGATTGCCACGCATTGCTAAACTCATTGTTATCGGTTGCAAAAACTTCATGTACTGATTCAAATCTTCTAGATATATAGGCTCTGTTCGAAAATCTGCTCTTCTCCATAGAGTTCTGTCTTGTGTTAATTGTGCAAATCTTTGACAACATCTATATTTCAAAGAAATTAATTATAGTAAAAGCATCACAACAGATATAACATTGATAAATACAACTTACAAGCTAATTGCCATAAGATCTTGTGGATATAAAAATTTCAATATATTAAGTAGAACATCATCCGAGAATTCAAGGATATTCAAAGATGTTGCTCCATTTATGTTTGTAATTTCTTCAAGTTTTATACGTTTTGTATCTCTGCTACTGGATGGTTCAGGAGAAAGAGATTTACTGCGCTTTATTTTCATCTCTTTCCTCTCTCTTCTTCTTTTACCTATAAAACAAAAAAAATAAAAAATTATACAAATAGCTTCTTTATGAGTCTGTAATTTAGAAAAGACTGTGTAATTTTCATATTTTTAATGTATATTATAAATTATAAATAGTTCACAAATATAAAAAATATAATGTATGCAAATATAACATATTTTAACTATGTTTCCTCTATAACTACTATATTAAAATTTTTTTTAAAAGCTGTTATTTACATATGATAAATAATTGAGAGAGCCTGCTATACATATAGAAATATATATATCCTTATATGTATATCTTTTTGCATATATTTTTATGGATTTGAATACAATTAACCAGATTTTTTCATATTATGATCAAAGAGATCGTGATATAATAAAAATTTATTTTATCAATCTAATTTTAAATATTAATATCCAATTTTACTTTTAAATAAATTGCGGATACTTTATCCAGTATCTTCATTGTATTTTGAGAGATTTTATCTAATTGTAAGAGATATCTTTCAAAATATAATGAAGATACTAGATAAAGTATCCGGAATTTATCTGAAAGTAAAAAAATTGGGCATTAATAGTTAAAACTAATGCCCAACCAATTTACACCCAATTTTTTTTTAATAAAAATATATTTAAGAAATTTAAAGTTTGTGGAGAAAAATAGTTTCTATATTTTTGATATGCACAAAGACGAGTAACTTTCATTTTCTCAGCTTTGCTTACTCTTATTATAATATATATACCTATTTGTAAATAAAAGAACATTAAAAATTAGAACGCTTAATAAAATAGAAAAAACGATTATAGTATATTTTAACATTGTGCTTAATGATACTAGTCAAACTGTTAACTGGAGTTACAGGAAGCTTTCAATGAGAATGCAACTTAATTTAAAACTGGCTATTTTCCTAAATCTCTTTTTTTCTCATACTCTTTGGATTGCTGTTTAATATTAAAATTCTATGAGAATGATAAAAACCTACATTAATATAAACAGAGTTTAGTAAGTATAAATAAATCATTACGTATCACGCATAAATCATCTTTTTTCCGTCGCACTTACCCCACGAGCTTTTTAACAAAAATACGTAGATTTATGTTTAGTAAAGCGTTACTTTTGAAGCCAATTCTGATTTGAATAACACAAGTAGATATGAGAACACAGACGAAAGCTATATAGGAAATATTATACTGACACTATTTCGTGATCAACAGAACATGCCATTGTTGCATTTCTCTTAAAGATTGGTGATATTGGTGCAGTGGGTACTTGACAAGAAAGACAAATCATGAACGTACAAAATACCCAGAAATACCTATAAGCATTGTAGAAAAGACAGGTAGAACAACTTGAGAGGTGCGCAATAGAACCAAATTTAGAACCAAAATTTTATTGGTTAGCTGATTGCGTTTCAAAACTGGACTCTGTCAACTTTGAATTTCTTTTATCTTTGTTCATTGAATGATAAACAGATTAAAGATACTCGGAGTTGACAGAGTCAAGTTTTGGAACATAATAGGGAGTTTTTGCAATATCGTTTACCCCGGATCTACAATACGTGATTTAAGCCCTAAGCTGTAAGAAATTAACCAATTACAGTCGAATTCGAGGAGAATAATCGACTATGATTCGTCCATTCCTTATGGCTTAAGGCTTAAAATTCTATTGTAGATCCGGGTTTACTTGGCACAAAAAACTTAAGGGGTTGGATTATACTGGATATAATCTGTTAACTTATGTCGTATCTGTAAAAATTGACCAATTATAATTGATTATTCCCCTCTCATTCGACTGTGATTGGTCAATTTTTACAGATTACGGCATAAGTTAACAAATTACGGCCAGTATAAATCAACCCTAAGGCATTAAGGGCCTCTTTCACCAACGTCGATTAACTTAATCGACGATTAGTCCATTGGAATTGACCAATCGCATTTATCATTTAGTTTTGACGACAGACGCGATTCGTCAATTCCAATGGACTAATCGTCGATTAAGTTAATCGGCGTTGGTGAAAGAGGCCCTTAGGGTGCGATTACATGCAACGCGGTATGCGGTAGGCGGTAGGCGGTAAAGTAACTAGGAACCGCGATAAGCCGCGCTAATTTTTTCCTACTATTATATAAGGGCGGGTTCACACCTTGACGGAAAAACGGAAAGCGGAAAAGCAGTAGCCAATCAGAATGTAAACAATAAAGCCCAAGACACAATGCGAGGGAATAGCGATAGCGATAAGTTTCAACCTATCAAAAATGTGTATTCCGGTGTATTCGATTTCTGATAAGTTGAAACTTATCGCTATCGCTATTCCCTCGCATTGTGTCTTGGACTTTACTGCCTTAAGTTTTTTTTTTGTGTGCCATGGGCTTTATAGTCTCTAGTGGAGCGGATTCATGAGCGCTCGCTGCTATTGGTGTATTCTTTTAGATTATCCAATAGCAGCGAGCGCTCACGGATCCGCTCCGCAACAGTTGAGTCTGCTGAACGTGACCATTGACTCCTAATGCTCATTTCCACCAATGTAGATTAAATTTTAATCTCGGTTAAATTTGCTCTTCGTTTTTTTCTAGTTCTAAAAATTAAAAAAAGGTGAACAGTAAGTTAAACCGAGATTAAAGTTAATTTATATTAGTGGAAACGAGCATAAAGTAGTCAAAACTGATCGAAACTGAAACTGAACTTTCCGTTAGACTCTATTTTTATATTCTATTTATTTCAATACTATATCTATCTAATAACATTTTACATTTACCATTTTTATAACATTATAATGGGTGCATCCAGAAGCACGACCGCTCATTGAGCGCTCTAGTGAGCTCTTATACCTGTTTGGTTTATTTAAATGTAATAGAATATGCCAATCAGATAAAAAAGCTCATTGAGCGTTTAGTGAGCGGTCGTGCTTCTGGATGCACCTAATGAGATAAAATAAAGAAAATATTATTTAAAGTATAAATTGATTAAGGGCTGCGCACAATGGAGGAACAGATATTAGATATTAAAATATTAACCTATCAGATACCAGTTACACCGGACTACACAATTCTGATAGATTAATATTTTAATATCTAATATCTGTTTCTCCATTGTGCGCAGACCCTTACTGTAATTTTCTTATTTACAAAATTTTACAAATTGGTCTTAACAAAGCATCTTTTGTTAAACTCTTTTTTATATTGTATTTTTTTTCTGTTTTCTTGCCAAAAATCTCTATGTGACGCTATTGGTAGAGAACGATTTGATGCCATTATTCAGATTTAAACAAATAAACTTATATAAGTATTTACATTTGTTATATTAATGAGACTACAAATACTAAATAAAATCATGCAATGAAAACACTCTGTTATATATGTAATATTTATTGTAACGTTTTAATTATTTCGAATTTTCTGAATATAATAAATTTAATTATCATTTTTTGGAAATACTTTAAGTTTATTTGAATAAGTTTTGTTAATAAAACTTTTAATCAGTTTTAAATAAAACCGTTACACACAAGCATAAGGAAAAGATAGAAAATAAAGCTGTGCTGCAACTTTTTAATAATATTTCAAAAAAATTGCAAATTCTTTCTGTAAAATTTCAGCAAAATTTCAACAAGGTTTTAGTGTAAGAATCGCGAACATTTTGTATTTCCAGAGCTGTCTTAGAAATATTACAAAGATATTTCACAAATTTTATGAAATGTTTTTAGTTAAAATATTTTTAAGATATTTCTGAAAACTTTCGGTGCTATATGAAATATACACCTTAGTCAAATATTGCTTTTTATTACTCAAAAATTTTTTTAATTTGTCAAAAAATAACATATATTTTCTCTAAATACCTCAAACTTTGAATATGTAATTCAACACTTATAGGAAATGTGAGTGTGGCTTGTAACGTGTTCCATACCTTCCGAAAGAAAAGAAGTCTCGGTCTTATTCCTTATTCTTCATTGAACAATAAGAACAAATCATACATATCATGGTTCGTTTTTGTGTTTGAGGGGATGTAGATCCAGAGCGCGGGACTAATAAATAATAATTCTGTTGTATATTCTATTCCCTTTCTTTCCTTGAAATTACCCTACAGTAAAAAATCATGTCAACAAAGTTACATAACAAAAATAATGTAATTAAAACAAGTAAATTATATATATAACGGATTATTCCAAGTCACTACATGATTTTTTAAATTAGATAATTTGAAAAGTTACATGATATTAAAAATAATTTTACTTATCGTATGATTTTAGAGTTATCAAATTTTAAGTAGGTATAGTTAAATGACAGAAAGATGAAAGAAGAAAAAAACACATCATTGTGTGACTTTAAAATTACATGATTTTAAAAAATCAGGTACTGATTTGAAATAATTTGTTACGTGTGATTTACATACTTTAATTATATGATTTTATTATGTAACTTTTATTGTGATGTGATTTTTTTCAGTATAAAGGTACTAAAGTTTTCTCCATAATATGCTATTATAATTTTCCAATTAAAAAAATCATTTCTTTTTAAGAATGAAAATCTTATAAAATTTTTATTTTTATTTATTATTTATTTATTTATATTTAAAAAAAATTTATTTTTTTTCAGTTATATATTTTCAGTTTTTGAAGACTCTCGATAATTTGTGTTATATAGTTTTTAGACAAGATGGGTAGTATAAGATATCGTTCGTGTACATTTTATGAAACGCGTCGCCGTCGAGAGATACGTTATTACGGGCTTACGTATTTCGATTCTATTTTCCAGCCTGGAAAATACACTCGATCGAGTAGCTGTCGAGTCTTGAGATATTTAGCGCAGTTGGCGCAACGATCGTGCCGCGCCATGGAGGACAGCATTCAACAGGCTGATATTTATAGATTGTTATATTATAGATGTAGGATTATTAGCGAAGCATCTTACGAATCCGCAAAAGCTTTTCGGTATCAATAACTAGTTTCTACGTTCGTTTCAGCGTCTGTCTGATGATCGTTGGATCCGATTGAACGGATATAATGATGCGATAGTGCGAAATCGCGATGAAGATGAGGGATAACGGTATTCTCGAGTACGGCGTATGGCGAAACATCTCATCGGCTGGTTCCGCCGGGAAAATCACAGGAATTCTAATGTAAGATCCGAGACCAGCTGTGCCGCTCACTCGAGTCTCACTCGAGTCGGATCGCTGTCAGTTCCGTTGAGGTAACGCGTTTCTCTCCGCTTGGTGTCGTGTCGCCGCGTCATGCTTTTGGTACCGTTGCTGTCCATCGTCATGGTGAACCAAATCGAGAATGCTAACCGCAACAACACCAACCATAACGACGTGATCCGTTATCCTCTGCTTGGTTAGAGCCATGGAAAGAGAGAGGAAAAAGGAAGGAAAGAAAAAAGGAATAATACTTTCGTCGCATTTTTTCGCGAGTGGCGAGTGATAATAGCCCCAATTCGGAGACACACACACACACACACTCTTCAATTCATAGGAAGTTACATGCACCGAAAACTTTGTGTAGCTGCAGAATGTTTTTTTGCCGGAAATATGATCCCCGCTGGCAGTTGAGGTAATGTAAACGAAGATTCGCTTTAGAGAACGATTGTCCTAATGGTTGTGAATCATCTCGATAGCGCGCATCTCTTTATGTACGTTCATCGAGTTTTACGCATCGGGATATCGCTTCGCAATTTTTTTTTCATCATTTAAATTTGCGAACATGATTTTTAACCCTTCATCGGCAATGTTGTTCTTTTAAAACGCAATAAATTCTTTATTGTGAATTTTAAGGAAATAAGTACATAGCGCGGGATTCGATATTGCTTTCTAAAACAAACTTAATAATGTTAGGATTGTATCTATACAAAGATGTTAATATCAAGCGGCGATTGTTTCGTTGCAAGGACAAATAAAAGTCGTGCCCTTAACGATCTAAATTACAAATCGCGTAAAGTTTTGTGTAAATAAAAGTTAAAAATTTTTTGTGTTTTACATTTTTTGGATAACGCTAATTTTGATAAGAACGTAAGGATTTTATTAGATTTTTTTAGTGTTTTATATCTTTTTTTTTGCTCGTTATAAATTAATATTTGCGAAGATATTAGACATACATAATTCACGAATATATATATCTACATACATATATTCAAAATTTTGAAAAAGAAATTCCTGAAATACTTCTCCAGAAATACTTGATAAATGAAAGGAATGTAAAAGATGTTAATTTTATCGATCAAATAATAGGAAAATTATGTACTATGTTCTATATGACAAATCGAT